ATATATATATATATATATATATATATATATATATATATAGTTGTTTGGAGTATTTTTCTATCACAAAAAAAATTGCCGCCTTTTTACTAAGGACAGCTCATTTTTCCACCACTTATCTTTAAAAATCAGTGTAACTGCTGTACAAATGTCACAAAAAGCCCGGCATATTGCTTTGATTTATGAAGGAAGTCATGATGAACTCTGGAGTGTCACTATGAAAAAAAAAAAAAGGTTCATAAATTCTAACACTCATTCAGTTTCAGAAAGAAGCCAATTTCCCAAAGTTTAAATACACCATTGGCCAAATTAACTGGTTGAGAGTAAGTGACATCAATTAACATCCGAGTGGCAGTTAAGGGGCTCATTTTTCTTCAGAAACTAAAGAGAATGGTCATTCTGCTGGAAGGCAATTATCTGAGGAATTTGAGGAGATAATCTTTATGCTGATGTCAGAGTATTGTTGGGAACAGTGAGATAGACTGTAAGTCATGAGATAGTTTTTTTTGGCAAAATCATCCATCTATTATCTTTACCTGCTTTTTCCTTTCTGGGTCACGGGGGTTACTGGTGCCCACATCCAGCAGTCATGGTGTGAGGGACAGGGTACACACTGGACAGGTCACAACAGGGCTGCTGTTTGCTCAGCAAAGCTGTGAATGACCAGAGCTCGTTTGCGACAGAGTAATGCAAATGTTTATGACTAGAAGGAAAAATTGCATTTTCTGGAAAAATGCTGAGTGTCCAATGACTTTGGTGAAATCAGCTGCAACTGAACTATCAAAGTTAAAGCGAGCAGAGCAGCCAAACATGGCGATACTGTAGCTACAAATTAAAGTGTGCAAAACAATTCCTTAAAACGAATATTGGCAAAACAGTAAGTAGCTGATAGCCAAAACCAGTGAAACTGTATTTATAAACTAAAACCTGTAAAACAGTCATTAAAGCTAAATTTTACTAAACTATATACAAAGATTCAAGGTTCTTTATTTGTCATATGCACATGTGGTGCATGCAGTGGAACGAAATAGTGTACACAGGGTCCCAGTAACATCCAACAAAAGTATAAAAGGTGAAAGTAAAACATTAATAATATCTAAGATATGAACTAAGAAAAACAGCATAGTATAAAAACAATATGCTGAGCAGCAGCACAAACATGAGTCTGTGTGAGCAGATGAGCACGAATGAACCCAGCAACATGAAACATGTGATTTTTCACAGTGATTATTCTGGTTAGAGATGCATGAGTCTAACAGCCTCAGGGTAGAAGCTGTTTCTCAGTCTAGTGGTTCTACACTTAATGCTCCTCAACCTCCTTCCTGAGGGGAGCGGGGCAAAAAAGTGTGTGTGCTGGGTGAGTGGGGTCCCTCATGATGCAGGTGGCTCTCTTCCTGCATCTGAAGGTGTAGATGTCTGTGATGGTGGGGAGGCTGACTCCAACAGACTTCTGTGAAGCCTTCACCACTCTCTGCAAAGCTTTTCTCTCTGCAGCTGTGCAGCCTCCATGCCACACGATGCTGGAGCACAGAATGCTCTCCACTGCACACCTGTAGAAGGAGGTGAGGACTGGCTAAAAGCTAAGATTATAATAAAAGCTAGGATTGGCAAAACCATGCATAAAAACTAAATGAGCACAATTAGGGTTTATATATATATATATATATATATATATATATATATATATATATTCTTCTTCAGGGGTCGCCACAGCAAACTAAGTCGCACGAAGACTTGGCAGTTATTGCAGTTATTTTTACTCTGGATACCCTTCCTGACGCAACCACAGACCACCGAGCTACCACAGCCCTCTGTGTGGAGCAGAGAGCTGCTATTAGGACACCCGGAGGAGCAGATGGTGGGGGTTAAGGGACTTGCACAAGAGCCCAAGGTGGGACGAATGAGGTTGGTTGCAGGTGTGGGTTCTTGAATTTGTAAGGAGGGCATCCAATTGTATTTATTTTTTAAATGACACTGATTTTGCCTATGGGGCGGCACGATGGCACAGTTGGTAGAGCTGCTGCCTCTCAGCGAGAAGGTTTGCTGGATCAAATCCCAGCCGGGTGCCTTTCTAGGTGGAGTTTGCATGTTCTCTCTGTACATGTGTGGGTACTCCGGTTTCCTCCCACAGACCAAAAACATGCATGTTGGGCTGATAGGCAACTCTAAATTGTCCCTAGGTGTGAGTGAGAGAGTGAACATTTGTTTATCTCATTTGTCTCTTGTCATCTGATTAAACTTTGTTAAAATTCAATGTTTCTGTTTTTCAGATCCATACTGAGCACAGTACACAGACAAAACACTCAAACTGAGGATTAAAATAAATGCAATGATTACAGAGACAAGTCCATGTGATTAATGCTCAAAATAATGAGAATAGACTGCCTAGCCTTGCATACTTACACTCATTTAATCAAGCTCCTCTGCATCGTGCCCGCACGCTGTCGAAGAGTCAGAAATTATTACGGTCTTATTGTCAGCTTCCGGCAGAAACTTGAAGCTGTGTCAAACATCTGCTCTGTAAGCAAGATATGATAACTTGACGTTCTTGTTTCCATGCACAATATTTATCGCCCATTCCCAAAAGGTGATCGCAAATTAACTTTTGCCCTTTTGTGTGCGCATGTGTTTGTCAATAAAATACCTTGTGGACCACTGAATATATATTGAAACTTTGCAGAATGTAATTAAATGTGCATCTGCAACTGATTAAACTTTTGAAACCAATATGATTCCAGATGGCTGCCATAACTTTAAAAGAAAACACACAACAAAGGCCAAAAATATGTCAATTTATTAAATATTTAGCTCAAATGTGTGTGGTAGTAGCTGGAGTTAGTCACAACACTAACTCTAAGTGCGACATATTGCACAAGATTTAGCTTAACGATAATTTCCAGTTTTGACTAGAATGGCTATACAGTAACTGTTATTTCTCAATTTAAGATTATCTTAGTCCAAACATTTGTTCATGAGACGCAGCAGGGATTCCTTCAAGGAACGCTAGGTCTTTAATTTATTCAGTAAATTGTTCTTACTCTTCTGTTTGTCTGTATAAATGACCCAATGGAGCAACATGGTAAAAATTAAACAGACCATGAGAACAACTTTAGATAAAACATATTACATTACCTCAATTAAAAAAAAAAAAAGAACACCAAGGGCATCAGAGGACTGTCTGTCAGCGATAATTAGGAGCCACTGTCTGTAATAGCCTAAAATGTTCTCAGATGGCCAATTAAAACTGTGTGGTTGATATCAAGCTGGAAAAGACACATCCAGATGAAATAAAATTATAAGCGCTTTAAGCTGATCTATAATGTCGATGCTGTATGGATCCTGAGGAACAAGCCAAAAGTAGAGCTCTAAGCAGAAAGACGTTGAAATAACATAACTTTACAACAGAAAATAGTTGGAAAACAAGCTTTAACTAAAAGAGAATAACCAATTTTTAAAACCTATTAATGTCTAAAGAAACTTACTTTATATTGACATGAGTTCACACAATGCAATTCAGTCAAAACATGAATCAAAAATGCAAATAAATGAAATAGGAAGTAAAAAATATCCATCTTGGAAACAATGTTGATATAAAATTTGATTTGGGGAGTGGTGGTGCAGAGGTTAGAGATGGTGGGATTGTGATTGGAAGGTCACCAGTTCGACTCCCCGGATTGACATCAAAATGTGGGTGGAAAAGGTGAAGCACGCACACCTGCCTCCACACTTATGTGCCCCACTCTGGGCCCTTGAGCAAGGCCCTTAACCCCCACCATCTGCTCCCACAGGTCTCTCTTGAAAAGGAGTCCTCATGACTCAATGAAACTACATGTATAAATAAACGTTAAATAAATAAAAGGAGTATTAAACGATACGGTTGAAAAAAAAAAAAAGCTTAACATTTTGAATTTTCTAAACAAATGTAAATATTTTGAAGCGGTTTTCATTCCTTTGAATTCCTTTCCTTCAGCAGTTTAATACAGGAGCTGATCTTTATGGACTTCCATAAAGGATTTTCTTCAAGGAGTTTAGTATAAAGGAAAACAGCTGAAGCTTTTAATTTTTATTTACTGCAGTTAAACTACAAGCTCTGAAATAGTAATGCTTCATATTGAGCTGTTCAATTTTCTGTAGATTCAAAAATCTATATAATAAGAGAAAACAGTATACCGTGCTTGCCACCCTGCTCATCGCACCACC